AGGTCAAGGCAGGAGAAAAAGAGCACTTATGAGATACTGGAAGACACTGTGATGAATAATATTACATGAAAGTATACAGAATGATTAAAAAAGAAAGCATAGCTGGGCTTGGTGGTGCATGCCTGTAATCCCAGCAACTCTGGGGGCTGAAGCAGGAGAATCTCAAGTTCAAAGCTAGCCTCAGCAATAGCGAAGCACTGAGCAACTCAGTGAGACCCTCTTTAAATAAAATACAAAATAAGGTTGAGGATGTGAATACCCCTGAGTTCAATCTCTGGTACAAAAACAAAAACAAACAAACAAACAAAAAGGAATGCACTTTCCTAAGAATCCCCAACACTGTCAAACAAACAAACAAAAGGGTGGGGGGCAAAGATTGGCAGCCTGGATACAGAAAAGTAGGTAGATGTTAATGTCCTGAGGCTGGGGATAGTTCAGAGATGAAGAGAATTAGGGAGCAAGGAATCAAGATGCTGGCAAATGTTCAGTACAAATAATATAACACAGCTGGGTATGGTGGGGAACCCCTGTAAATCAAGCTACTTGGGATGCTAAGGCAGGAGTATTACAAGTTCAAGGCCAGCCTGGGCAATTGCGCAATGTTTCAAAATAAAAAATAAAAAAGAGTGAGAGGTGCAGCTCAATAGTAGAGCACCCTTGGGTTCAATCCCCAGTACTGCAACAAAAACAAAAACACACCCCAAAACCAAAGCAAATAATATAATACATGTTCCAGCTAGATAGGGAAAAAAATATAGATGGGATAAATCAATGCAGGGCTGTCAAATTTGTTGGGGAAAAAAAGGCCCAGAAAAATTTGAATTTCAGATAAACAGAATATTTTTAAGAATAAATATGCTACAACACTGTATATAGCCTGCATTTTATTTGACAATTATTGTAGGTGAAAAAAGATGGAATCATGAGGTCAAAGGGCTAGAGCATGGTGTAAAAAGAGTCAGAAAGCTGATTTCTTTCTTTCTTTTTTTGGTGCTGGGGATGGAACCCAGGAACTAGTGCATGCTAGGCAAATGTTCTACCACTGAGCTACACCCTTAGCCCTTGCAAACTGAATACTAAACACTATTGTTTAGAATTTCAGACATGGAAGATTTGGGGGTAATGAAAAAAACCAGGGAGGGCCCATTGGAGTTTGTGGCTGAAACCAAATGAAAGTATAGGGCTGAGAAGAAACACTGAGCCTAGAGCAATTAGATGGATCATTAGCATGAACATTGAAGTCAGCTAAAATGATGGTTGGAGGATGGAGGAGTATAACAAGCCAAGTATCAAAATCTTCAAAAAGTGTATTAAAATGATCAGGAAGTCACTGAAGGATGATATCAGGATATCCTAAAGGTCTTGTAAAGGGAAGGGCTTTTTGCATATATTAAAAGGGTAATAACAACCTGAAATTCTGTAATGTGGAACTGGGGAGATAATCCATAGCTTAGACAGTATAAGCTACTTTTAAAAATGTAGTGTGTTCTCAGAGAGCAGTTAAGTTTCAGACAAGATGGAAAAGTAGGGCACAGGGTAGTGTTTTCAGTAGAGGGGTTACAGAGGATGGAATGAAAAGGGGTGGGAAGGATGATGAGAGAACAAACACCAAATACCAACAATTAAAAAAAGCAAAAAAGGAACAAACAGAAAAATAACTTAATCTTGACTGAAAGGAGAAGGGAAGATTATTCTAAGAAAGTGAGGTTTGAGTTGAGATCTGAAGAACGTGATATAGGTACCTCATATTCAATCAGTCCAATGCCAAAGAATTACCTGACACTTGTCACTCTTCAGTGATTTCTAGCTCAGTGAACGGACCTACTGTTATGCAGGTTAGAAATATAAGAGACATTCATAATATCTATCTGCCTCCCTTATGTTCATTATCTAAACCATTATACAAGCATCAGATAAAGGAAGCATTCCAAGCAGAGGGAACATATACAATGTTCCTATGTTGAAAGACATGGTATCTTCTGAAGCTAAAGACATTACTTTTACATTGAAGAAGGGGCTAGATCCTGAAGGTCTTATAGGCCATACTAAGGATTTTGTTCTTATCCTAAGAGCAATAAGAGACATTGACAAGTCTGGAACAAAGGAATAGATGTGATCAGATTTAGATTTTGAAAAGAGCATTCTGTTGGTAGAATGGAGAACAGATGTGAAAAAGCTTAAATACAAGGAGATCAGAAAAAAGGCTAATGTAGTCATATAGTTGAGAAGTGGGGGTGCTTGGCACAGGTGCGAACAGTGAACATGGATGTAAGTGGATGGCTTTTAGGGCTAGTGAGATGATAAAAGGAACTGGTGAAAGTGGTAGATATTCTCTTCTAAACAATGTTAGGAATGAAAATGGAAAGGGAGATTGTATAGGAGAGAAAAACATTTCCCCTTACTGGTCACTTCCTTACTTAATTACAATCAAACTGTTTTATAGCAGACAGTGCTGCCCTTAGGCAAAGGTAAGGGGCCCCTATCTAATCTGTCTCTTTCTGCTGCAAAGAACAAGGAATCCCTGAGGTCAAGTGGCCATGCCTATTAGGAGACTCCCTATCTCTTGAAGACTGCCTAAGTCTGACGGTAGACTGAGCTGCTGATTGTTCTTATTTTCAGGGAGTATGGGATGTGGACACATGCTTCAACATGCTGGGTCCATACATGGCCTTAGTTAGTGTGGCAGGTGAAGAAGTTGGGGGAAGAAAGAGGTCAGAATCAGTTTGAGGAGTCTTGAGAATTCTAAATTTAAAGCTAGCCTTCCAGATCATTACAAAAGTGGATTTGTCAAGGTTTAATACAATATATTTTATGTTATAGTTTGTTATCTGGATTTATAACTTCAATATTTAGACAGGTGGTACATGGGTCTTGTCCAGGCTCTGCTAGTTTAAGGCCAGGCCTGATAACAGGGTAGTATAGTGTACTATTGTGCAAGGAGTAACAAATTCACACAGATAAGAGTATCATTTAGTTGCACCTTTAAGAAGTTAGATTTTTAAGACTTCAAGTGTGGAAGATAAATGAGTGTACAAGATCCAAGGCATACCTTAATGTTTATGAGATACTTCTCTAGATAAGGAGGGCCAACAATTAATAAATTACTTTTATTATTCCTTGCAGTACAGTACTAGGGATTGAACTCATGGGTCAGTCTACCATCTAGCAACATTCCCAGGCATTTTTTTTTTTTTTGGACCAAGGATTGAACCCAGGGATACTTAACCACTAAGCACATCCCCAGCTCATTTTAATCTCTATTTTGAGACAAGGTCTTGCTAAATTGCTGAGGCTGGCTTTGAATTTTTGATCCTTCTGCCTTGGCCTCCAGAGCTGCTGGGATTACCGGTGTGCACCAATGAGCCCCACTCCAGCCATATTTTATTTTATATTTTGAGACAGGGTCTTGCTAATGCCCAGGCTGGCCTTGAATTTGTGATCCTTCTGTCTTAAGACTCCCAAGCTGGGATTACAGATATGCACCAATGTACCTGGCTAAGAAATTATTTTAATTATAATGATTTCAGTGTGATTTTGAAAACCCTCTTCAAAACTGCGTAAGTTTAGAGTGTGGAAGGAAATTAGTGATCATGGGATGAAATTTACTCATTCAACAGATAAAAAAACAGGTTGTGACAGGTGAAGCCAGCCTAAGGTCACAACTCCATTGAGTTGGCAGATGATTTCCAGTCCTACCTATCCTCTCTGTTCATTCTCCCACCAATGCTACTATTGATGAAGATATTGATGCCAGTCAATTCCAATTACAAAGTTTTTACTGTTATGTATAAAAGGAATTAAATATTTCATTACTGTAAAAATTTTAGGTACTTAAAATTAAATATACCTATAAATCAATGTTAAAATTTGACTACTCCTTCCCAAATCTCAAGGGGGAAAAGAAAGAAAACGGAAGTAAAGAATTCCAACTTTCTGAGGTCGCAAGAATGGATATTCCTTAAAAGTTACTTTTAAGCGTTTCCAGAAAGCCTATGCAATTTAGGACTCCTCTTAGAATCATAAAATTTCTTCTCACTGGCCCACTGAGTTGACTACTTCTATTTTTACATTCATTCCTTTTGACTTTCTGACGTCCTATGACATCTAAGAGTTAAAAGCATGCTCTTTGCTATGGTTACAACTGTATTGCAACCCGTCTCCCCAACTTCCTTACTTGTTAATCCAAAAATCAAAGCACCCGCTTTCAAAGTATGGGACACTCGGCGCTACTACACAATAAAATACAGAAGTTCAATTTTTTTTTGTCTTCAAACACTTAGTAATATCGCATTTTCTTGACGAGTTTAAGTTATTATTACAAAAAAAAATTAAAACCTTTAAGGGACCACTCACAATTTTAAAACTCTTCAAGCCCAGGGGATATCTTACCTTCAAGCTCTGAAGTAATCCCAAAGGAAGTATCCTGTTCATAGGACTTTATCTTCCCTCAAAGCACGAGCGTTCACGATCTTAGCAATAGTAATACATCTTGTCACCACAATAAGTGATTTTTTTAGCCCCTCCCATCAATTGACTACCGACTAACAAAAGAAAGGATTTATTTCTCCGCAACACTTCTCTGAGCTAAGCATCCCCGAAAAACAGCTTTCTGAACGCGCAGAGGCAGGAAGGGAAAGGCACGCCGGGGGAAAAAGGAAGAGAAAGTGGTACAACTGCAACAAAGTCTTCGAGGCGGGAACAAACGCGCCCTCGGTCGGGGCAGATTTGGGGTCCAGAGCGTCCCAGACACTCTCATAGGGCACCCGAGTTCACACTGGCGACAGTCGGAGACCCTCCCCTCCAACAGTTCCCCCTACTACTAGCCGCACCCCGCGGAGCTCTGACCTCCAAAGCAAGTCCGCTTGGCAATTCCAACCCTTCGCTTTCTGCCCGCACCTTTGATTGGATTCTAGATGGATCCCTCAGTACGTCTCACCCTATGAAAGACCCGGCCGGTGGCCCGGCAGCCCCGCCCCCGCCCCGCCCCTGGCAGAGGACCCGCCCCGTGCCTCGCGCCAGGGAGCGGAGGAGAGTAAATACAACAGGAGCGCAAGATGGCGGAACCGCCGAGCCCAGTGCACGGCGCCGCCGCCGCCTCTGCCTCCGTCGTTTCCGAGAAAGAACCATTTGGCAAGCTTCAATCTTCCTCTCGGGATCCACCGGGTTCTCTGTCCGCAAAGAAGGTCCGGACTGAGGAGAAGAAGGCGCCGCGGAGAGTGAACGGAGAAGGGGGTAGCGGCGGGAACAGCAGGCAGCTGCAGCCGCCCGTGGCACCTTCGCCTCAGAGCTATGGCAGCCCCGCGTCTTGGAGCTTCTCTGCTCTTTCTGCTACCCCATCTCCGTCGTCTTCTCGGAGCTGTTTCTCTTTCTCCGCGGGTTCGGCGGTCCCCTCTTCAGCCTCCGCTTCCTTGTCTCAGCCGGTGCCGCGCAAACTGCTGGTCCCTCCTACGCTGCTGCACGCCCAGCCTCACCATCTCCTGCTGCCGGCCGCCGCTTCCTCGGCTAACGCCAAGCCACGCAGACCTAAGGAAAAGCGGGAGAAGGAGAAGAGGAGGCACGGCCTTGGCGGGGCCGCCCGGGAGGAGAACGGGGAGGTGAAGCCGCTGCCGCGAGGTGGGTGCTGGCTCGCGCGGGGGAGGGGAGGGGACGCCCAGGTCCCCGCCACCCTTAAGCGCTGGGGGCCCGGGAAGGGGGAGCGCGGCCGCGGCGTGCGCCAGTCTGGACAGGCGGGAGGAGTCAGGTTCTCGGGCGATTTTGCAGTCCTCAAGGGGACAGGAAATGGAGTCTGTAATTTTGGTGGCAGAGAGGGGAATGGCCTAAACTCTATATGGTTTTTCCTCCCAGTTAACGAGCTGCAGCATTTGTAGAAATCGGTCTGGAGGACCCTTCTAGGTATGCTTGTTAGGGAGGGAGATAGGAACAAACGAGAAGGACTCGGTCTTTAAAAGATGCTTGATAAGTAAATAAACTGTTTAGATGTGATCATAGGGATTTGTTTTTGGGACCCAACCTCCGACACCAGAAAATCCTATCAAAAAAGGGGTGTGGAGAGCATTGGCGTCAGCTGGAAGCTACCAGAGGCCTGAGCATTTCATCCCTATTAGGGAAGTGAGGTAGTGTGCAGGGCCCCAAGTGTGCTGTTTCATAAGGTACCCAGCCTCCACCCTCCTCTCCACTCCGTATTCTTAAGTGTTTTGAGGGGTCCTATTTGAAATATCACCCTTCAGAAGAATTTTCAGCCATATTCTCTTTTTCTGCAGCAAATAATAAAAATCAGGAGCTTTGACGTGTTTTGGCCACATCAAGTGGTTACAAAATGTTTTAGCATAAGAAAAAGGCCGATTCTTAGGCGTCCTTTTGAGACACACTTTTGCTTTTGAATGTTGACTTTTCATAGTTTTTCAAGATATTATTTCTTTAAAATAGGTGGTCCTTTTAGCGGTGGATATATAATGATTTGACAGAGTAGTACAACATGCAGATTGGTTGGGAAGTAAATCTATGATTACAAACTTAAAACTCAAAGTTTGAAATGATATTTATTATAAATATATGTTGCTACAGTGTTATGAAATAAATCTTTTTTTTTTTTTAGCAAAAAATGAAATGCAAGTAGTTTTAGCATAGCTGATCTGATGTCGCTTAGATCATGAAAAATGCTGTTTTAAGTAGAATGGCTTATTTTTTACAGTAATTTTTTAAAAAGCTATACCTGAGTATGTAGTAACAGTGTTACTTTCCATTTTTTTTTTTTTTTTTTTTTTGTCATAGCAAAGCTTTGACATCCAAGTCAAACCTGCCATCAGGTATTCTGATGCAAAGTAAAGATCTCTCACTTCTGCAGATTGTTGCTTCTACAAAAGCAGTTATGAAGATGGAGTTTACTTAGGAATTTTAAGTGGTCAATATTTTAAAGCTATTTGTTTTAATCCCTAAGTATAAAATATAAGTGCCTGGAAATCTATCCAAACGTGGCTTGGTATCAGTCTTACTTGTGGTATGGAAACTCTGCATTTGCTTCATAAATTCTCTGAGGAAGTACATATGGATATTGGAATGGCTGAAAATAAATAAGCATGCATTTTAAAAAAACAATTCTGACTTAACATGTGGTGTAAACAGATGTCCTTTAAATTCAGTGGCTCTGTAGTGCTATGATTGTAATCTCGGCTACTTGGAGGCTGAGGCAGGAGGATTGCAAGTTTGAGGCCAGCTTGGGCAATTTAGTGAGACCCTGTATCAAAAATGAAAGCACTGGCCACATGCAGTGGTGTACACTTAGGAGGCCGAGGAAGGAGGGTTGCAAGTTCAAAGCCAGCCTCAGCAAAAAACAAGGTGCTAAGCAAATCAGTGAGACCCTGTCTCTAAATAAAATACAAAAAAGGGCTGGAGATGTGGCTCAGTGCGGAGTGCCCCTACAATCCCTGGAACAACAACAACAACAACAACAACAAAAAGGACTGGGGACGTAGTTTAAGGGTATAGTGCTTGCTTGGCATGTGTGAGGCCCTTGGTTCAATCACAATTACCAGGAAAAAAAAAAGTGAAATGACCGTGAAAGCAAAATTTTTATAATGTTTTAAATTACATTTAGAATCGGTTTTTTCCCTCTTTTTTCTTCTTCTCCTTCTTTTTTTTTTTTTTTGGTATTGGGGATTGAACCCAGGGGTACACTACCATTGAGCTACATTCTCAGTCCTTTTTGTTTTTTATTTTGAGACAGGGGCTCACTAAGTTGTCCAGGTTGGCTTTAAATTTGAGATACTCCTGCCTCAGCCTCCCAAATCCCTAGGATTAAAAACCTGAGCTACCATGCTAGGCCCAGAATTCTCTTGAGTGCTACCGCTTACATTTTTAAGCCTAAATATAAACAAGGATAGCTTTTAAAAAAATATGTTTTAGTTGTCAATGGGTCTTTTATTTATTTATTTATATGTGGTGCTGAGGATTGAACCCAGGGCCTCACACAGGCTGGGCAAGTGTTCCACACTGAGCCACTACTGCAGCCCCAACAATGATACCTTTTATATTAGGCTTTTCCCACAACCTAAATGGATTTTTTAAGGAATGACTAGATATTAACTTTTGTAATCTTTTTTGTACAAAAATGCTATTTTATCTATTTATTTATTTAAAAATCCTGTTGTTTTGAGAAAAAACTAAAAATCAAAGAAAAATATTGCTTTTTAGTATTTTTTGTTTGTTTTTGGTACTGGGGATAGAACCCACGGGTACTTAACCACTAAGCCACATCCTCAGCCTCAGCCTTTTAAAAATATTTTATGTAGATGTAGGGTTTTGCTCTGTTGCTTAGGGCCAAGTTACTGAGTCTGGCTTTGAACTCACAATCCTCTTGCCTCAGATTCCTGACCTGTTGGAATTACAGATGTGTGCCACCACACCCAGCTTGCTTTTTAGTATCTCAATGATAATTTTTTGTGTGTGTGTGGTGCAAGTGCTCTACCATCAAGCTACAACTCCAGCTCGATTCAGTAATCTTGAGTCAGAACTAAAGTAAGCTCTAACGATATTTAAAGAAGGAAAATAGATTTTCCCTCAACAAAAGACAAAATTGATGTATGTAGTTCCCAGAAGAACTGGCCACTCCCAATTTTACTAAACTATTAAGCTCCTGTACTTATTTAGAGTTTTTAAAACTCATTAGAACAGCTTTATTTTTATGTTGGTTATATTCTAACAAAGTGTTCGGATTGAATGAAAGTGCATATATGAATGGACCTGGCAAGCCATTTAGTAAATGTTCAGTCTGAAGCATGGTTTTTAATTTTTTAATCTCATCAATAAACTAAAAGATGGGTCAGTCCTGACAGAATCAAGGATCACTGACCTAAAATTTGAAAGCTAGGCTTACTAGTGTAGGCTCGTTGAATATAATGACCAATACCTTATGCACCTAACATCTCTTCAGGTCATGTGGTGATAGTGCTATAGCTGACTTACATGATAGTCTAATTCATCAAATAAAGGTTAAATTTTTTTCTTATAAAAAGTGCAGAATAGTTTAGATTCTTAAAACTAGAAATAGCTGGGCCTGGTGGCTCATGTCTGTAATCCCAGTGATTTGTGAGCTGATACAGGAGGATGGCAAGTTCAAGGCAGCCTTGGCAACTTAAGACTCTGTTTCAAAATAAAAAAATAATAATAAGAAGAAAGGGCTAGGGATGTAGTTCAGTGGTAAACTGCCTCTAGGTTCAGTCCTCATTATGGCAAACAAAACCAAAAACAAAATAAACCTGGAAAATAACTAGATTTGGTGCTTATAGAGATAAGCTACTGGAGTTACCCCATTTTTCTCTAAGACTTAATTGTTCAAACACTTGGAAAGTAAAAATGGACATGTTTTTAAGGTATCCACCATTGAGAATCTCATTATAGTAG